ATTATATATATATATACATGCATATAAAATTTTATATATATAAATACACATTTACATATCCACTTATACATATTATTTTTTTTACATTCTACGATTTTTTTCATTTAATTATTTGTCATATAGTTTTTATTTTAATTCTTAATGTAACTTAGATAAGTTTTTCATCATGTTAAGTTTTAGTAGTGTGTGATATATTATACCTCTATATGATTTTTCTAATAGATCCATAGCAAACATAATATTGAATCAATTATTGATTTAATAATTTTGTTAAAATTTTCTAAGACTGAAACTGCGTGCATTAAGTTTGCAGTAATACAAAACTTTTGACAAATAAAATCGATATAAAATTTGAACATATGTTCTTAATATATATTTTGTCCTAATACAGAAAAAAACATGTATATATTGTATGGCATAATAATTACGAGCTTCTTAATATTAAATATTTTACATGGAAACGTGATATCTCTCTTTATTTTTCAATAGTGGAATGAAATTACAGGGTATACAATGGTTTACATAATTAGCCTAAGACTTTACATGATTTTGTTAGACGATTTCGACTGTTGCTTTTAGTATATATTTACAGAAATAAAATCTTACAGTTTTCAATATAAGGCTATTCGCTAGAGCATAAGTCAAACGTGACCATAAACTTTGTTTTAAATCGTACATATTACTCATGAATCAGTTTAATAAATTAAATTTAATAAAGAAATAAAAATGATAAATGATGCATTTAATAAATTTCAATACAATTCAATATGCTTGTAATTACGTAATACAAAATACACAATTTCAGCATTTTTTTATATAACAGTTGTACCATTTTTAACTTTTATTTTGCAAATTTGTATACATAATATATATTATACTTATGTATAAGTAAATGGCACGACTTACGGAGTTAAGTTTGATAGTCAAGAATGTGCTATAAGTATATAGCAAATTTTATTATTGAAACACTTGTAATACTAGATAGAATTACACATCAATGGAATTGCATTTTTTAAGTAGTGCCTTAACACCATAATCTATGGCTTTTAGTAACATTTGTCTTACTACAAATTTTTATCAAAACAAAGTGCAAGTTATATAACTAACAGGTTCATAAATATCTCGCATTCTATTGTGATTTACACGCGTATCTATCCTGCTATATCTTTATGATTAATGTCTTATGGCGGTGATAGAAAATAAAATATACGTTTCGCGTGTTTTCTCGGTGTTCGAAAGTACATACAAAACTACATAGTGAAAACTTTTAATATCAAACCTAATGTTATATATACGTGGATTAGTA